TTCAAGTCACAAAATGACATCTGTAAGACTTGAACCACAATGATACATTCGACAACCTGCAGTATTTACCACTAGACCTCTTGCCCGTTGTTGCAAGCCTATCGCAACTTAACCTTTTTTCTCTGCAGCTTGTGTAATTAAAATTCGACAGATTCAAAATCACAAAATGACTTCTGTAGGACATGAACAACAATGGTACATTACACAACCTGTAGTCTTTACCACTGGACCACTTGTGTAATGTGCCATTGTGTTTCAAATCCCACAGAAGTAATTTTGTGACTTTACATGCGTGGAATATTAAATGCACAAGCTACAAAAAAGCTTATGATGAATAAGTTACGACAGGCTTCAAACAACGAGCAAGTGGTCTAGCGTTAAAGACTACAGGTTTTGTAATGTAACTTTGTGGTTCAAGTCCTACAGAAGTCATTTTGCCACTTGAAATGTGTGAAATATTAATTACACAAGGTAGAGAAAAACGTTATGGTGAATAAGTTGGGGTTTGCTTCAAACAGCGAGCAAGTGGTCTAGTGGTAAAGTCTATAGGTTGTTTAAGTACCACTGTGGTTCAAGTCCTACAGAAGTCATTTTGTCACTTGAAATGTGTGGAATATTGATTACACAAGCTAGAGAAAAAGGTTATGGTGAATAAGTTGGGGTTTGCTTCAAACAGCGAGCAAGTGGTCTAGTGGTAAAGGCTGCCCACTGCCTAGTGTACCATTGTGGTTCAATCCTACAGAAGACATTTTGTGACTTGTAATTTGTCGAATTTTAATTGCACAAGCTAAAGAAAAAAGGTTATGCTGAATAAGTTGCGATATTCTGTCACCAACGAGCAAGTAATCTAGTGCTAAAGACTACAGGTTGTGTAATTTACCATTGTGGTTCAAGTCCTACAGAAGTCATTTTGTGATTTGAATTGTTTCGAATTTTAATTGCACAAGCTAGAGAAAACAGGTTATGGTGAATATAAAGTTGCAATTAGCTTTCAACAACGAGCAAGTGGTCTAGTGGTAAAGACTACAGGTTGTGTAAAATGTACCATTGTGGTTCAATCCTACAGAAGACATTTTGTGACTTGTAATTTGTCGAATTTTAATTGCACAAGCTAAAGAAAAAAGGTTATGCTGAATAAGTTGCGATATTCTGTCACCAACGAGCAAGTAATCTAGTGCTAAAGACTACAGGTTGTGTAATTTACCATTGTGGTTCAAGTCCTACAGAAGTCATTTTGTGATTTGAATTGTTTCGAATTTTAATTGCACAAGCTAGAGAAAACAGGTTATGGTGAATATAAAGTTGCAATTAGCTTTCAACAACGAGCAAGTGGTCTAGTGGTAAAGACTACAGGTTGTGTAAAATGTACCATTGTGGTTCAATCCTACAGAAGACATTTTGTGACTTGTAATTTGTCGAATTTTAATTGCACAAGCTAAAGAAAAAAGGTTATGCTGAATAAGTTGCGATATTCTGTCAGCAACGAGCAAGTAGTCTAGTGGTAAAGACTACGGGTAGTGTAAAATGTACCATTGAGGTTCAAGTCCTACAGAAGTCATTTTGTGATTTGAATTGTGTCGAATTTTAATTGCACAAGCTAGAGAAAGAAGGTTATGGTGAATAAGTTGCGATATGCTGTCAGCAACGAGCAAGTGGTCTAGTGGTAAAGTCTACGGGTTGTGTAAAATGTACCATTGTGGTTCAAGTCCTACAGAAGTCATTTTGTGATTTGAATTGTGTCGAATTTTAATTGCACAAGCTAGAGAAAGAAGGTTATGGTGAATCACTTGCGATAGGCTGTCAACAACGAGCAAGTGGTCTAGTGGTAAAGACTACAGGTTGTGTAATTTACCATTGTGGTTCAAGTCCCACAGAAGTCATTTTGTGACTTGAAATTTGTCGAGTTTTAATTGCACAAGCTGGAGAAAAAGGTTATGGTGAATAAGTTGCGATATGCTGTCAGCAACGAGCAAGTGGTCTAGTGGTAAAGTCTACGGGTTGTGTAAAATGTACCATTGTGGTTCAAGTCCTACAGAAGTCATTTTGTGATTTGAATTGTGTCGGAGATCAGCAATTTTCTCCATTTGCCTAAGATTTTTTTCTAAAACCCTAAAATTTTCTAAAATTTTTGTAAATTAACCTCATTCTTTTCCAAATTCAGACTTATTTTTGTAAATTAACGCCTTGTACTCAGAAAATCATCTCAAAATACGCTTTAAAATTCTCCTGTGCCAAAACGTTCTGCATCAATATGCGTTTTGAACCTTTCTCTATCGATCTATAATAAATTTTTTTTTTCATTTTTCACGAAATGAAAGACGGCTTAGCACGGCTTAGCACGGCTTAGCACGGCTTGCCATTTTTCATTTGCATACGCCTTGTGCTCAGAAAATCATCTCAAAATACGCTTTAAAATTCTCCTGTGCCAAAACGTTCTGCATCAATATGCGTTTTGAACCTTTCTTTATCGATCTATAACAAAAATTTATTTTTCATTTTTCCCGAAATGAAAGACGGCTTAGCACGGCTTAGCACGGCTTAGCATGGCTTGCCATTTTTCATTTGCATACGCCTTGTGCTCAGAAAATCATCTCAAACTACGCTTTAAAATTCTCCTGTGCCAAGACGTTCTGCATCAATATGCGTTTTGAACCTTTCTCTATCGATCTATAACAAAATTTTTTTTTTCATTTTTCCTAAAATGAAAGACGGCTTAGCACGGCTTAGCTCGGCTTGCCATTTCTCATTTGCATACGCCTTGTGCTCAGAAAATCATCTCAAAATACGCTTTAAAATTCTCCTGTGCCAAAACGTTCTGCATCAATATGCGTTTTGAACCTTTCTCTATCGATCTATAACAAAAATTTATTTTTCATTTTTCCCGAAATGAAAGACGGCTTAGCACGGCTTAGCACGGCTTAGCATGGCTTGCCATTTCTCATTTGCATACGCCTTGTGCTCAGAAAATCATCTCAAACCACGCTTTAAAATTCTCCTGTGCCAAGACGTTCTGCATCAATATGCGTTTTGAACCTTTCTCTATTGATCTAGAACAAAATTTTTTTTTTCATTTTTCCTAAAATGAAAGACGGCTTAGCACGGCTTAGCTCGGCTTGCCATTTCTCATTTGCATACGCCTTGTGCTCAGAAAATCATCTCAAAATACGCTTTAAAATTCTCCTGTGCCAAAACGTTCTGCATCAATATGCGTTTTGAACCTTTCTCTATCGATCTATAACAAAAATTTATTTTTCATTTTTCCCGAAATGAAAGACGGCTTAGCACGGCTTAGCACGGCTTAGCATGGCTTGCCATTTCTCATTTGCATACGCCTTGTGCTCAGAAAATCATCTCAAACTACGCTTTAAAATTCTCCTGTGCCAAGACGTTCTGCATCAATATGCGTTTTGAACCTTTCTCTATCGATCTATAACAAAATTTTATTTTTCATTTTTCCCGAAATGAAAGACGGCTTAGCACGGCTTAGCACGGCTTAGCACGGCTTAGCATGGCTTGCCATTTCTCATTTGCATACGCCTTGTGCTCAGAAAATCATCTCAAACTACGCTTTAAAATTCTCCTGTGCCAAGACGTTCTGCATCAATATGCGTTTTGAACTTTCTCTATTGATCTATAACAAAATTTTTTTTTTCATTTTTCCTAAAATGAAAGACGGCTTAGCACGGCTTAGCACGGCTTAGCATGGCTTGCCATTTCTCATTTGCATACGCCTTGTGCTCAGAAAATCATCTCAAAATACGCTTTAAAATTCTCCTGTGCCAAAACGTTCTGCATCAATATGCGTTTTGAACCTTTCTCTATTGATATAGAACAAAATTTTTTTTTTCATTTTTCCTAAAATGAAAGACGGCTTAGCACGGCTTAGCTCGGCTTGCCATTTCTCATTTGCATACGCCTTGTGCTCAGAAAATCATCTCAAAATACGCTTTAAAATTCTCCTGTGCCAAAACGTTCGGCATCAATATGCGTTTTGAACCTTTCTCTATCGATCTATAACAAAAATTTTTTTTTCATTTTTCCCGAAATGAAAGACGGCTTAGCACGGCTTAGCACGGCTTAGCATGGCTTGCCATTTCTCATTTGCATACGCCTTGTGCTCAGAAAATCATCTCAAAATACGCTTTAAAATTCTCCTGTGCCAAGACGTTTTGCATCAATATGCGTTTTGAACCTTTCTCTATCGATCTATAACAAAAGTTTTTTTTCATTTTTCCCGAAATGAAAGACGGCTTAGCACGGCTTAGCACGGCTTAGCATGGCTTGCCATTTCTCATTTGGATACGCCTTGTGCTCAGAAAATCATCTCAAACTACGCTTTAAAATTCTCCTGTGCCAAGACGTTCTGCATCAATATGCGTTTTGAACCTTTCTCTATCGATCTATAACAAAATTTTTTTTTTCATTTTTCCCGAAATGAAAGACGGCTTAGCACGGCTTAGCACGGCTTAGCATGGCTGCCATTTCTCATTTGCATACGCCTTGTGCTCAGAAAATCATCTCAAAATACGCTTTAAAATTCTCCTGTGCCAAGACGTTCTGCATCAATATGCGTTTTGAACCTTTCTCTATTGATCTAGAACAAAATTTTTTTTTTCATTTTTCCTAAAATGAAAGACGGCTTAGCACGGCTTAGCTTGGCTTGCCATTTCTCATTTGCATACGCCTTGTGCTCAGAAAATCATCTCAAAATACGCTTTAAAATTCTCCTGTGCCAAGACGTTCTGCATCAATATGCGTTTTGAACCTTTCTCTATCGATCTATAACAAAAAATTTTTTTTCATTTTTCCCGAAATGAAAGACGGCTTAGCACGGCTTAGCACGGCTTAGCACGGCTTAGCACGGCTTAGCACGGCTTGCCATTTCTCATTTGCATACGCCTTGTACTCACAAAATCATCTCGAAATACGCTTTAAAATTCTCTTGTACCAAAACGTTCTGCATCAATATTCGTTTTGAACCTTTCTCTGTCGATCTATAACAAAATTTTTTTTTTCTTTTTCCCGAAATGAAAGACGGCTTAGCACGGCTTAGCACCGCCTTGTAGAGATTTCTTCACCTCATGAGATGAGCAGGTCACAACAATGTACTTTTGTTTTTAATTTTACACTATTTCAAGTCGTCCGCTGATGGTTTAGTGGTAGGTCGTTTCGCCTGTGACGATAAACGTTTGGGTTCAAATCCTGTTGAACTCAACAGGTGGGAAATTTGTCGTCGCTGAGCAAAAAATTGCGGGCAGAAACAAAGCTCATTGCATTTACATTCAAAACAGAGCAGAAAGTTAGCAAGAAGCTGTTTTAGCTGACGATTTTTTGCTTTCCATTCAACAATTTACAAATTATTGGTTATTCTTTTAAAAGTCGATCATGAATTCTTTGTTTTGGGATGATTGTTTTGTAATCGCGTGATTGGAAAAAGTTAATATGGCGACGTGAACATGGGAGTAAACACCGTATACGTCGATCTACGGCTTGTTTAAAATCGTAATAAAAGAAGAAAGACGTGATTTGAGAATGAAATGTAAGTTGAAATTAACTTTATATGCCTCAAATTTTCCATCCTATGTTTCTTAATGTAACTTCAGTTGTCTAAGTTCAAAATACAAGCTCGCGAAATTTGACAAATTTTGAAAATATGTAAAAATAGCTTGACTTTGAATTGTACTTTCTCAAAATAGCCCGTGGCCTCAATTTCAAATATAGCTAAATGAAAAGAAAAAACTTTTCGGCGTTTGTAGGTATCAAACATATCGTCAGGAAAATAGGGGCTCACAATGTTTTAGTTCAGTCTTTGAGACCCAGTTGCTTCGCACGTGTTGTGGTCAAATTTTTGCCAAGAATCAAAGGCCGAAATGTGAACTTCCTTCATGAAAACCGCTTCGAGAAGGGTCTGGTTTGAAAATTTAGCTATTAATTTCGATTTCATGAGCATATTTTGGTTACACGTTAAGTATTTTTGTGCTTGATGAGATTCAAAATTTGTTGTATATTCAAGCCCGGCTTTTGTGTAATTTTGGTGATGACCGGAACAGAAATAAAGATATTTTAAAAACTGGCCGTGGCCTCACGATAAAACTTTCTACAATTGTTCTCTGTTTCATGTACTTTTATTTGATATCTTAGGTATAAGCGTAAAAATAGGGGCTCATACAGTTTAAGAGGTTGTAAAATGCATGACTTGCCTCTATTTTCATGTAAACATTCGAAATTCTTCGACAGCAAAGTAGCAACTGTTTTAGATCGAATGCACACGGACAGCCCACCAGAGACAATGGCAGGGTACTGAAATAGAACGTCACTAAAAAATTCTGTATGATTAATTTAGATCATGTCCATTTTCAACATAAAACAGTCATTTATTTTGTACAAACATTTGGCAATATTTGCACGATTGTGCCTTTTTGTAAACACGCGTTGCGTGTATTCCACTCAGAGCTGCCACTCTCAATAGCCTATTTTCACCTAAGGCTAGTACTAAAATCCCCTACTTTTCCCTACAAGTCAATGTGTAATTTTCCCCTACATTCCCCTACGTTCCCCTACAAATATCGCATTTCCCCTGTAATCCTGAATTATCATCTACGATACAGATGTTTCCGGTTTTTAATATAACGATAATATATTCTATTTATTAAATTGCACAAACCTTAACAAAACCAAACCACAAACTATTACTCAAAAATTCACTCAAATTCACTCAAAAATTCAAGAAATAGCGAAACATTCTTCTGCACTAATGCACTTGGATGAATATTTAAGTTGTTGGGAAAAAATCCTTAGATTTCCTTAGATTTTTTCTCTTCCTTAGATTTTCCTTTTCGACACTAGAATTTCCTTAGAAAAGGAAATTTCCTTGAAAATGGAAGCACTGTCGTGGAGACCGGAGACGTGGAGTTATTATATCACATATTCCAGTGCTTCCACATTCAATTCAAATCTAAATTTCTAGTTGTTTCCATGAAAAATCCTGATTATCCTGCAGTTCAATATTGCTAGTTCCATTTTGTAATTCATAATACCATAACCAGACACACAATTTTTTTTTCAATTCAAACCGTGAAGAAATCCCCTACGCTCCCCTACAGATTACCCTTTCTCCCCGTAGGTATTCCCCACTCCCTACAAGATGTCATAATCCCCTACTGTAGGGGAATCCCCCTACGAGTGGCAGCCTTGATTCCACTCAATTGCGTGACTCATTTTGCTCGCGCATGCTCAGACAAATTTCCCACCTGTTGTTGAACTCATGTTTTGTAGTGGACTAACAATATTTTTTCCCCTTTATTTATTCTGGCTATTTTGAACCTGGCCCGAAGAGATTAAGGTAATCATTCTATATTGTATAATTTCAGAAGATTTTGAGGTCGTCCACTGATGGAGTGATGCCGTAGTGGTAGTACGGCTTAGCACGGCTTAGCATTGCTCATTTGCATGCGCCTTGTACTCACAAAATCATCTCAAAATGCCGTTTAAAATTCTCTTGTACCAAAACGGTCTGCATCAATATGCGTTTTGAACCTTTCTGTGTCGATCTATAACAAAAATTTTTTTTTCATTTTGCCCGAAATGAAAGACGGCTTAGCACGGCTTAGCATTGCTCATTTGCATGCGCATTGTACTCAGAAAATCATCTCAAAATACGCTTTAAAATTCCCTTGTGCCAAAACGTTCTGCATCAAGATGCGTTTTGAACCTTTCTCTGTCGATCTATAACAAAAAAAGATTTGTCGATTTCCCCGAAATTTTCTCAGACGGATAACGGCTAAGCGTAGTAGAAACTTGCGAATTCAAATTTCTTTGCAGCAATATTATTGTCGATTTCAAGTCACTTTTCAACGCGCGGTTCCTAAGTTCTTTGCGAACTTGGCAACAAAGTTCGCAAGTTCATTTCAATGTTGAACTTTGTTTTTTATTAATAATTTGTTCATCACTCTACAGAGCAATGCACTGTGCATCTTTATTTTTGGTTATTCAATTATTCAGTCTCAAGGATGGTTTCACGAAAATCAGAACATTAGCGCAGACCCTGCATAAACAGGCTCTTTGAAACTGTACATTAAGGAATAGTGGATCTTAGGACGGAATAGTAAATTTCAAAATCTACTACTCCGGATGTATAGTACAAAAATTTCGACCCCTGTTCTATATCGTTGCCATCGTGGTATAGTGGTAAAGAATGAGGCCATCATCATCGAAAGTTGTGGACCGTTCCCAGATAAAACTGTCGTAACTTTTTGTATAATTTGTTCATTATTTCTTTTTGCCATTATTTTTCCAAAATGGCTCTAAATCGCACCTTCTAACAGCTGAATATCCACTTTTAAATATTTTTTGTGTATTTGGACAATTTTGAGTCGATTTAACCAAGGATGACGAGGGATGAACAAGGATGCAGAGCGCTGAAGAGAATTCTTCTGTGTGAAATCGAGAAAATCTACATATACAGCTAGTGGAACACAAAACAGAGAATATTGGAGAAAAGTAATATAAAGATTGAGGCCATCATGAGCGAAAGTTGTGGACCCTTCCCAGGTAAAACTCTCGTATAATTTTTTCTTTATTTCTAAGCGTAGTGGAATCTATAAGAAAACACGGCTATGGATCATTTGCATACGTATACTGTATGAAAGTTTATATGTTAAAGTTTGCTTTAAAATTCTCCAGAGCCAAAACTTTCTGCGTCATTATGCGTTTTGTACCTTTCTAAGTCGGTCTATGACGAAAACAATTTTTTGATCAGCCAAAATTATTTGACTCAGAAATCCGGGCAACGGGGAAGCGTAGTGTAATTTATATTAAAAGGACGGCCAAGGATCATTTGCATAATGCTTCAGTGCTATGATAGCCATGTGAAAATGCGCTTTAAAATTCCCCTGAGCCCAACTTATCTCCGTTAATATGTGTTTTGAACCTTTCTAAGTTTGTCTATGACGAAAAATTTTTTTCGGTCAGCCAAAAATTTATTTGAATCAGAAATCCGGGCAACGGGCAAGCGTAGTGTAATTTATATTAATGGACGGGCAAGCGTAGTGTAATTTATAGTAATCGGGACGGGCAAGGATTGATTTGCATACGGCCCAGTGCTATGATAGCCATGTGAAAATGTGCTTTAAAATTCCCCTGAGCTAAACCTATCACCGTTAATATGCGTTTTGAACCTTTCTAAGTTGATCTATGACGAAAATTTTTTTTCGATCAGCCAAAAATTTTCTAAGTGACAAGCCTAGCTTTATTTGACTCCGAAATCCGGGCAAGCGTAGTGTAATTTATAGTAATCGGGACGGGCAAAGATTGATTTGTATACGGCCCAATGATAGCCATGTGAAAATGTGCTTTAAAATTCCCCTGAGCCAAACCTATCTCCGTTAATATGCGTTTTGAACCTTTCTAAGTTGGTAAGATGTTCTATCGAATTAGAAGGCCCTTGTAGCAGAGACTTGAATTTGGGCAAGCCTGAAAATTGTATTTCTGGAATCTACTATCAATAAGCCTTCTGTCAATCCCTCATTCGTGCATCACTAGGCCGGACGTGGAGATAAAAACCAGTTTTTCCAGCTGTGTAATCGAAAAAGACGTGAAAGTTAATATTTTATAAGTGAGGGTTAGGGTTTGGCTGTTTCGAATCTGATGTTCTATTGAATTTCAAGGTCCCTGTAGCGGAAACGTGAATTTACACCGGTCTGAATATTGTATTTTTAGAATCTACGGTCCATAGGCTTTCTGTCGATGCCTTACTCGTGCATCAAAAGACAGTCCATGAAGATACAAAGCAGGTTATTCCAGGTGCATAATCGAAAAAGACGTGAAAGTTAATATTATGCGATTTCAAACCTTGCGTTCTATTGAATTTCAAGGCCTCTGCAGCAGAAACTAGAATTTGTCACGGTCTGAAAATTGCATTTATGAAATCTACGGTCCATAAGCTTTCTATCGATGCCTTATACGTGTATCACTAAACAGTTCATGAAGATAAGAAGCAGGTTATTCCAGGTGCATAATCGAAAAAGACGTGAAAGTTAATATTATGCGGTTTCGAACCTGATGTTCTATCGAATTACAAGGCCCTTGTAGCAGAGACTTGAATTTGGGCTAGCCGGAAAATTGTATTTCAGGAATCTACTATCAATAAGCCTTCTGTCGATGCCTCATTCGTGCATTACTAGGCCGGACGTGGAGATAAAAAGCAGTTTTATCCAGCTGTGTAATCGAAAACCACGTGAAAGTTAATATTTTATAAGTGAGGGTTAGGGTTTGGCCGTTTCGAATCTGATGTTCTATTGAATTTCAAGGTCCCTGTAGCGGAAACGTGAATTTAAGCCGGTCTGCAAATTGTAATTTTAGAATCTGTAGGCGAGATGGTCTAGTGGTAAAGGCAAAGTGTTTGCAAGTGCATAAAGCCAGCATCGATTCCTGGTTGAGTCAAAAGCATTTTAATGTCAAGCATCGTTGTTAATTATTCCACCCGAGACGAGATCTTTGTCGCCAAGTAGAATAAAATAGGAGTTAAATTAAGTGTAGGCGAGATGGTCTAGTGGTAAAGGCAAAGTGTAGCAAGTGTGTAAAGCCAGGATCGATTCCTGGTTATGTCAAAAGCATTTTAATGTCAGGCATCGTTGTTAATTCCACCCGAGACGAAAATTAGCCAAGTAGAATAAAAAAGGAGTTAAAGCAAGTGTAGGCGAAATGGTATAGTGGTAAAGGCAAAATGTTTGCAAGTGCGTAAAGCCAGGATCGTTTCCTGGTTGTGTCAAAAGCATTTTAATGTCAGGTATGGTTTATAATTATTTCTCCCGAGACGAGAAAGAGTTAAGTGAGAATAAAAAAGAAGTTAAAGCAAGTGTAGGCGAGATGGTCTAGTGGTAAAGGCAAAGTGTTGCAAGTGCGTAAAGCCAGGATCGATTCCTGGTTGTGTCAAAAGCATTTTAATGTCAGGCATCGTTGTTAATTAATTCCACCCCATACGAAAATTAGCCAAGTAGAATAAAAAAGGAGTAAAAGCAGGTGTAGGCGAGATGGTATAGTGGTAAAGGCAAAGTGATCCAAGTGCGTAAAGCCAGGATCGATTCCTGGTTGTGTCAAAAGCATTTTAATGTCAGGCATCGTTGTTAATTATTCCACCCGAGACGAGATCTTTCTCGCCAAGTAGAATAAAATAGGAGTTAAATCAAGTGTAGCCGAGATGGTCTAGTGGTAAAGGCAAAGTGTTGCAAGTGTGTAAAGCCAGGATCGATTCCTGGTTATGTCAAAAGCATTTTAATGTCAGGCTTGGTTAATAATTAATTCCACCCGAGACGAGAAAGAGTTAAGTGAGAATAAAAAAGTAGTTAAAGCAAGTGTAGGCGAAATGGTCTAGTGGTAAAGGCAAAGTGTTCGCAAATGCGTAAAGCCAGGATCGATTCCTGGTTGTGTCAAAAGCATTTTAATGTCAGGCATCGTTGTTAATTAATTCCACTCGAGACGAAAATTAGCCAAGTAGAATAAAAAAGGAGTTAAAGCAAGTGTAGGCGAAATGGTCTAGTGGTAAAGGCAAAGTGTTGCAAGTGCGTAAAGGCAGGATCGATTCCTGGTTGTGTCAAAAGCATTTTAATGTCAGGCATCATTGTTAATTAATTCCACCCGAGACGAAAATTAACCATGTAGAATAAAAAAAGGTGTTAAAGCAAGTGTAGGCGAGATGGTATAGTGGTAAAGGCAAAGTGTTTGCAACTGCGTAAAGCCAGGATCGATTCCTGGTTGTGTCAAAAGTATTTTAATGTCAGGTATCGTTGTTAATTAATTCCACCCGAGACGAGAAAGAGCCAAGTAGAATAAAAAAGGAGTGAAAGCAAGTGTAGGTGAGATGGTCTAGTGGTAAGGACGAAGTGTTGCTATTCCGTGAATCCCAGGATCGATTCCTGGTTGTCTAAAAATCAACAAGTGTATGCATTAATATTATGCCATTTCGAGCATTATGTTCTATTGAATTTCAAGGCCCCTGTAGCTGAAACTTATTTTTAAGCCAGTCTTTATATTTTTGGAATCTACGGTCAATAGGCTTTCCGCCGATGCCTTACTCGTGCATCACTAGACGTCCGTAGACCTAAAAAGCAGGTTTTTCCAACTGTGTAATCGAAAAAGACGTGAAAGTTAATATTATGCTGTTACAAACCTTATGTTCTATTGAATTTGAAAGCCCCTGTAGCAGAAACTTGAATTTGCCACGGTCTGAAAATTGGGAAATCGCTAGATAGAATACTTAAAGATAAGGTTTCGGTTTTGGTAACGTACAA